TTGGCTTGAATGTCCCATTAAGTTAGTAATTCACATGATTGAGGCTGGAGATCAATGGAGGATAAAGGTTTCCTATGTCACACTTGTGCCTCCACATACAGGAGCACCCACAGAAGTGGGCTCACACACACACACACACATATACACATATACACACACACATCACACACACCTCTCACACACACCACATACCTCACACCCACATGACACATATACATACCACACACATATACACCACATATACACACATCACACACACGAACATCACACACACACACCTCATACACATCACACACACATATCACACACACCTCACACACATATCACACATACCACACACACATCACACACACCACACACATGCACACCACACACACACCATACACACCCACACCACATACACACCACACACACACACCACACACACCACACACACACTACACACATACCACACATACACGACACACACCACACTACACACACTACACACATATACACACACTACACATACACCATACACACACTACACACATACCACACATACACCACACACACACACACACACACACACACACCCCACACGCCACACACACACACACACCACACATACACACACACACACCCCACACGCCACACACACACACACACCACACATGCATACCACACACACACCACACACACACACACACACACCACACACCACACACATACACCACACACACACTACACACACCACACACACACCATACACATACCACACACACCACACACACACACACCCTACACACCACACACATGGAAAGGAAAGAGGAAAACAGAGAAGGAATAGCTCAGACTGGCAAAGACAGTTCTGAGGGTAAAGACGCTTGCTTCACCAAAGGTCCCTCAGATTTGGAATGAGTTAAGTGACAAGCTATTGTCCTGGGGCCTGAAAGGTTTAGGGTTTAGGGCCCAAGGTGTGGGGGTGGGACACTGAGGAGGATTGTCCTCTGAGATACAAGATTTACCGAGAAAGCCATTAATTCCAAGAAAAGAGAGATGCCGGGGACAGACAGCATGTGGGGACGCTGGGGAGAGCTCAGGCCCATGTGGCAGAGTGGTTGTGCTTCCTTAGAGGTCTTAGAGACAGGGACGCTTCCATGCCACACGGTTGATGAGTGCTCCGGAGCTCACATCAGTGTGAGCACTCTCCTGTGGGTGCTCCTGTGTGTGGAGGCAGCAGTGTGACATAGGAAACCATCCTCTAGTGATCTCCTCGATCATGTGATTACTAAGTAATGGGACGTCGCTTCCCAGCTGGCAGGGGAGGGGGAGGGGGGTCTTGTGTTGCCAGGATAAGAGAAGGAACCTTGGTGAGTGTGACTGAGAGGGTGTGGGGGAATGAAAGAGGAGGGCCACACGTAGTGTACCCTGTGTCCAGGCAGAGGATGTGGTAGCGTTGGTAGCTTTCTGATGTCTTAGAATCTGATGGACTGGGCGTGTGCAAACTTCCTTGGGGAAATTGAGAATTAGGGGTCCACTGCTGTCCTGGAGTCTAGGCCCTAGGGGGATCTGCAGAAGTGTCCAGATTCACATAGGGGCTCTTGTGGGGAGCCAGGGGAGCACTTCCTGTCACTTCCTCGGCAGCAGCTTTAGGAAACGGGCCGCTGCAGGTGTGTGCAGCCTTGTTAGCCCCTAGCCCCAAACCTAACAAGGGCATTAACTACAGCAAAGTAAAAATCTCTAAAACTTTACTTCACTTTGGTTGGTCAACCTGGGCTTCCAAATCTGAGCAGAGGGAGAGGTGGTGAACCTACACCCATGTAGGGGTAGGTAACTCAGTAGTGGCCATGATTGGGTCTGTAACATGTCCTTTGCTGTACCGAGACATCTCATGTTCGTGGTACCTATTGGGAAACGCACTTTTATTGTTCCCATTTTATAGATTGGGAAGTAGGTTCTATGACTGGGGCAAGGCTACCTGTTAGGGAGAGGTGAACCTGGGGTCCTGAAGTTCTAGTGCTACTTTGTATGGGAGCATGCTCCTGGAGTTTTTCACAACATGTGAAATCTAGTCAAGATTCTGTCTGAGGCATCCCCATGAAAGGTGCAGGGAGAGCGGCCCTAGGCCGAGCACAGACTACTCCTGAGGCTGCAGGACCTGCTCTGGTCCTCCTGTGAGAGGCAGGGCACTGTGCAACATGAAGGTTCCTAGCTTTCTAATGGGAAGCAGGAAGGGAACAATGGCCCCTTCCTACCCAGCAGGGTGGCTTCGCCCCCTGCATGACAGTCCCTGGATGGTCTTTGTTATTCACTAGCCCTCAGACACGGAAAAGCAGAGGGATTGGGGGACCAATCACTGGTGGCTACGTGATTCCTTCTATTTTAAAGGAAGAAAGAAAAATGCTTACAGAGTAAATCCAGAATGGCCCCTGAAGAGCAAGCAGAGGCGTGGTTTCTATTGTAGCAACTGATTTTTGTTTGAACATATCCACACACCAGAGACCAGAAGGATGTTCACAGTGATTTTTGTGGTGTATGTGTGTGTGTGTAGTGTACACTCATTGGCACACATGTGGAGGCCAGCGGAGGATTTCAGGTATCCTGCTCTATGACTCTGTTGACGAGGTTTCTCCTGAACCTTGTATTCACTGTCTACCCATTCACCCATTCACTCATCTATCCATCCATCCATCCATCCATCCATCCATCCATCCATCCATCCATCCATCTATCCATCCCACTCATCCATCCACCCATCCATCCATCCATCCATCCATCCATCCTTCTGTCCATCCACCCACCCACTCATCCATCCACCCATCCACTCATTCACCCACCCATCCACCCACCCATCCTTCCATCCATCCATCCATCCATCCATCCATCCATCCATCCATCAGCTAGAGTGGCTGACCCATCTTCATGTCTCTGCCCTCCACAGCTTGGGAGTTAAGGTTGTGCCCTAGTTACACCCAGCTTTTTATGTGGGTGCTGGGGATCTGAACTTAGATCTCCATGCTTGCACAGCCAACACTCTTACCCTCTTCCCCAATGCCAGCTTACGACAATTTGACTTGTATTCTTAAAGCAGCCAGAGCATTGAAGGCTAGGGGTTGTGATTGACTCTTCTACGCCAATGGAGGAATCCCTGGGCTCTCTTCAGCTTTGATCATGTGAGTCAAGGCCTGGAGTTCCCTCTGATTTGACCCTTTCTCCCTCTGCCCCTTCTACACGCCCAACTCCTGCCCCCCCCCCCCCCCCCCCCCCCGCCCATTCTCACAACACTGCTCCCATTCCTAGGTTGTGCTCAAGATAGGTCAAGCACTTATTTGGCTGCCTCATATTCTGCCTTAAACTGACTAGAGGTTGTTTGGGGTGGTCAGGCATAGGGTGTTATAAGGCTAGCTTACCCAGTGGCCTCTCTCTGAGGCCCTTGTTCGTTGACATACTTATAGAATATTCCTTCCTTCCCCGTTGAGTTGGCCTACCTTTGGTTTGTTTTAAAAAGGCAGAAGGATGAAGTAGGGATCGTGGGGTATGGTATTTTGAACAAGTGTACCCCACACAGCCTCATTATATGCTCATTTGAATGTTTATCTCCAATTGGTGGAACTGTTTGGGAAGGATTAGCAGGTGTGGCTTTGTTGGGGGCTGGGCTTTGAGGTTTCAAAATCCCACACCATTCCCAGTGTGCTTTCTGCCTCTTTCTTGTGGATCAAGATGTGAGCTCTCAGCTGTTCCTGCTGCCATGTGCCAGTTAAACGTTTTCTTTTGTAAGTTGCTTTCAGTTATGATGTTTAATCACAGCGAAAGAAAAGTAACTAACACACAGGGCTATGAAATCCCACTCTACCCTGTCCCTATACTTAATGGATCAGAATACTTCATTTCAGTTCTTTTTAAAATACATACTTCATTGAGCCAGCCATGATCATTAGAACATTAGAAATAATGTTCCTTAGTCGCTATTCCAGCTTATAGAATTCTGAGGAAGAAAAGTTCCAGAACAATGATATGGTACACTTCCCACAAGTTGAAGATGTCCGTGAGCTTCTTAAGTCTCATTATGACAGTCTCACATGCTGGGGAGTCGGTGGGTGACACCTTGGATCCCCACAGCAGAGATCAAAATAGCAACAAAACAGTGGTTATTATAACCCGCTACCTGCCTGCCTGACAGACCCTGAGTTAAACAATACAGATTTAAAATGAAAAGACACAGTCTCTGCATCCAAAGGCTCCTGGGCTGAGACACTTTGTACAAAAATCATGAACTGAAATCACTGTGTGTGTGTGTGTGTGTGTGTGTGTGTGTGTGTGTGTTTCTATATATGCATGAGAGAGTATGTGTGTATGTGTGTGTGAGAGAGTGTGTGTGTTTGTGTTTCTGTGTATGTACAAGAGAGTGTGTGTATATGTGTGTGTCTGTTTGTGTGTTTCTGTGTGTGAGAGAGTGTGTGTGTGTTTCTGTGTATGTACGAGAGAGAGAGTGTGTGTGTGTCTGTGTTTCTGTGTGTGAGAGAGTGTGTGTGTGTTTCTGTGTATGTACGAGAGAGAGAGTGTGTGTGTGTCTGTGTTTCTGTGTGTGAGAGAGTGTGTGTGTGTGTTTCTGTGTATGTACGAGAGAGAGAGAGAGAGAGAGAGAGAGAGAGAGAGAGAGAGAGAGAGAGAGAATGTGTGTGTGTGTGTGTGTGTGTGTGTGTGTGTGTGTGTGTTTCTGTGTGTGTGAGAGAGAGAGTGTGTGCGGGTGTGTGTGTGCGCCCCAGATGTCAACCTCAGGAACCTCCCACACTGTTTTTGAGACAGGGCCTCTCACTTGGACCTGGAGTCATCGATTAGGCTGGCAGGCTGCTGGCTAGTAAGTCCCAGGAGGCTTGTTTCCGCCTCCTCAGAGCTTGGACTTTAAGTGTGCACCATCACACTTTGCTTTTATGTGGGTGCTGGGACACATAGGTTCTCATGCTTAGTCAGCAAGCCCTCTCTCTCTAGCCCCTGAATTCTCTCTTCCCATCCTACAGGCCCCAAGTGACCAGCATCAGCACCGTCAACTGCGCTCAGGAGTGAGTATGGATTGGGCCCCTTCCCCTTTTACTGCTTCACGCTGCTGTGTGCCAGGTTTCGCAAACATGATATGTATGTGTGCAGCCTTTCATACCTCACCCACAGGAGTTCTGGGCTTTGCTTCTCAGCTGATTTCCCAAAGATGAAGAGGAAATGTGTTTATTCATTTAAATTGCTTCATGTAAGGATCCGCTCAGCTGAACACCTGGATTGTATTTTGATAATGTCCTGATGTTGATGTTGAGAGAGCTTGATAATTCAATAACGATGTAATGCATCCTATTTTTTTAAAACAGAAACTTGGCTGGATTTCGGCTAAGTAAACAGAAGAGGTTTCTTTTAAGAAAATGGTAAAGGAACACATTTGCAAAGTCACCAGATGAGAGACCAGCACTCCTCCTGGCAGTTCTGTCCGCATTTGGCACTTTTTAGGTCACCTCCAGAATGACACAACGTCTCTGTGGGCCTCATCCCATCTGCTGTCTGTCATGGCCTGGGGCCCATCACTCCTAAGCCGCCCCTCCTGCCTTCCGGGCAGGCCTGGGCCTTCAGTGTGAGCAGCCCCCCCCCCCCCCCGGAGAAGCCACGCCTCCTGTAGCATTTCCACATGTCTCAGGATAACATATCACCCCACGTCTCTGTCCAGCCAGCAGCTACAGGAGGAAACTGCCTGATGTCGTCTGGGCCTACTCCAAAGCTGTCCTACAGCCATGGTAGCTAGGAGAGAGCTGCTTTCAAAGCTGAAGGCAAGCAGACAAACAGCCTGAAACCTGTTATTCACACCAGCATCAGACTATCAAAGACAGCCCCATGGCCTCTTGTGGTCGCTGAGCTGAAGATATGTAACCAGTTGTCAGGGTAAAGACAGTTCCATCCTGCCTGTTTCCATGGTCCGTCTCTCACCTGGAAGCTCCCTGGAGAAGGCCAGTAGAGTGTGGGCAGCAGTGACATTCAGTGAGGGGAGTCTCTAGATCTGGTTTTCACTGGAAGACTCTGGTGGTTCCACAGCCCTTCCGGAGGCTTGCTGGTCATGGTGCTGCCTCTCTGGCTTGCCATGCTCCAGCTGAACAATTTTGTGAGCATTCTGGCAGCCTCTGTACCCGGAAAGTGCCTTTCTTGGACAGGGAACTAGAAATACTAGCTCATGGGAGCTTAGACCGGCCAAGACCAACTGCAGATTTTGCATATGGAAGGCAAGGACCTTAAAAGCCAAATTTTGAAAGAAAGCAAAAAGTGGTAGTCGAGGAAAGAGCCAAACACTGGAGGAAAAAAAGGAATTTTTAAGCAGAGAAAGAAAACGTTGACCAAGACACGGAGGGAACCGTGATGGTTCCGAGAGGGCGCTGAAAGCTGCTGGTTCTTGCTCAGGCCGAAAGCCCTTCACTGCATTATGAAGACATCTTGGATACGTCCAATAGCGTAGGCATCTTCTGTGTCCTTCGCTGGGTTTCAAGCAGATACACAGAGGAGGATGACTGGGGTGGGAGCTGTGTGAGTAGAAAAAATGGAAGGTCTGCAGTTAATTATTAAAAAAAAAAAATAAGATGGGTATAGATCAGTGGTAGAGTCCTTGCCTAACATGCTGGAAGATTCCATCCCTTGCAACAAGGAAGGAAAGAAGGGAGGGAGGGAGGGGGGGGAGGGAGGGAGGGATGGAGGGAAGCAGAAAGCAGTGTGTGTGTGTGTGTGTGTGTGTGTGTGTGTGTGTGTGTGTGTATGTGTGTGTGTAATTCTCAAATAACATCTGAGATTTGTCACCAGCCAGGTGTGAGCATCTCCTAATGCAAGGTCCGTAGGAATCCTCGCACCAGATTGAGCTGGGCAGCTGTCCTCACACAGTCGCGTGTCCTCGTGTGTCCCACAGTCCTAATGTCCAGTGAAGGAAGGCGCTAGATGGTCCTACAGACGGCGTGGACCACCCATCGGAGGGGCTGGAGTTTCACACCAGCTCAGCTCAAGTGAAAGAGAGCATAATCTGTCTTCCATCTGGTCCTCTTGGACCGCTTGGCCACACTGGAAATAAACGGACAGTTTCGGGGTGGTTTGCCGGCCCGGGTTCCTGAAGGCATGGGAATTTGGAGTCCTCGCAGCCACGGCACAGACTGCCCTCAGTGCAACTCATCATTTCTCACCAGCTCTTCCCTGCAGGTCACCTGCCGACGGTGGCCTATCCCAACGCCAAGCCAGTGGGGACAGATGGCCCAAGATGATAAGACGACCTCAGAGCAGCCACAGCGTTAGGACTAGAACGCCCTGATTTTACCGATAAGGAAGCTGAAACCAGGCAGGAAGAAACCACTGCTTCTGGTTCACGCTCCGCTTCCCCGCTGGCTTTTCCCCTCCTCCACTTTCACGTGCATGTGTACATGTTCACATGTGTGGGGGCACACGTGTGTGCACAGAATGCGGAGGGCCAAGGCTGATGTTGGGAATCATCTTTGATTGCTCTCCCATCTCATTCACTAAGGCAGGGTCTGTCAGTCAAACCAGAGCTGGCCCCTATGGCTTGCCCTGTTGGTCCCCCATGCCCACCTCCTAAGGCTCGAATTACCGGTGGGCGGCAGTGGCTACCTGGCTTCTACATGGGTTCTCGGATCCAAACTCAGGGTCTTATACTCGCAGGGCAGGTGTTTCAACACAAATCTCTCAGCCCAGTGATTATTTCTGAACTCCAAGGCTTAGCAGAATACATGGCCCAAGGAAGATGCTCAGCGATGTTTGAGAAAGGAGGGAAGAGGGGTATGAAGGGAGGAGAATGTGCTAAGCTCACTCCTGTGACTGTATAGACCTCACCCCACCGCCTCTCCCCAGAGTGCCGACCCCTGTGCCTCTCACTGTTGCTCACTGTGGTCAGTGCTCTCAGGAGGTCATGACCTGTTGTCCAGAAAACATTACTGACACCATCAGACCCGAAAGCATCATCAATAGAATACTGGGACAGCACTTGGGTGGCTCCCTGGTCCATCTGAACAGCATCAGGGAAGCCAAGAAGGTATTTGGCTTACATCCTTGCTAAGGGGCTGTGGCAGGGTACCCATTTAGGCTAGGGTTTGTGTTTGAATAGGACTCAGGAATAAGACATCACCTCCACTCCCAGAGAGAAGAGTCTAGGAGAGTTGAGTGTAAGTTTCCATAGGACACACGCAGAATGGAACTTAACGGACTATCCAGCAAGGCACCCATGTGAATCGGTAGGATCCTTGGAAAATCAACAAGGCAGGGCCTGAGAAACAGGCTGAGAGAGAGCAGAGGGGGCCTGCTCCAGCTCAGACACTGTCAGAGGCAGAGAAAGATTAGATGCAGGATCTGGGCTGCTCATGAGACACAGCAGTGGTGAGTTTAGCAAGTCACCAAGGCAACAGAGCTCACCTGTAGATTCTACAGGGTGGCAATAGCCTCACCCCTGACCTATGGGGATTGGAGAGTGAGGTGGGGACTATTAAGGGAACTGAGTCCAGCTGAACTATTTTTTATTGTCTCAGGCCCCCCAACTCCACATTCCGCCAGCCTTGGGAATCCATCGCTGCCCTTCACTTTAAGGATGGCTGGGGATCAGAGTGGCATGTGACCCTCTTCTCGGCCTCAAAGCCCTATCGGTGATGTGACCTTCTCCAACATCCAGACACTGTGTCTTCTGTCCCAGGGGTGCTGCTGGATCCACTCCTTGCTCACACCCCGAGAGTTTTATGACCTTCTTGGGAAGTTAGGCACATTTGAGAGGCATGGCAGAGAACACTCAGGCAGCCATGGTCTCAGGCCCACCTGAGCATGGAGCCTGGGTAGCCCATGGAAGATGCTTAATGGATGTTCAGGAAGGAGGGAAGGGAGGCATGGAGAGAGAGGAGACTTGCCAAGGTCAAAACAGTGGTTGTGTAGAGTCGGGCCTCACTCCACAGCCTCCACAGGCATGCTCACAAATCTTTATTCACACACTCGCTGGCCTCTTAGAGGAGCTAAGGACCTGAGCATTCCATACTGGGATGAGGGTTTGGAGTGATCAGGACAAGCTCACAAAGGACTCCACACCAAGACAGACGGGCAGAACATTGTTGTCTCAGAGTCACAGGTTAAAGTCAGTGGTGATCAAGGTTTGTTCTTTGTTTTGTTTTGTTTCTGAGACAGAGTTTCTCTGTGTAGTCCTGGCTGTCCTGAAATTTGCTCTGTAGCCCAGGCTGGCCTCGAACTCACAGAGATCTTCCTGCCTCTGCCTCCCTGAGTCCTGGAATTAAAGGTGCGCGCCACCATACCCAGCTCAAGGTTTGTTTTGTAATCAGGAGAACGAATCACCGTTAGAGACCATGTTAGATTACACAAACCTGCTAGACAGAGCTACCGTGTCCTCTCAGCTGTTTCCTAGTTTGCTTTGCTTTCTACTGCAGGGAGAAACACCACGACCAAAAGCAACTTTGTGAGCAACGGGAAAGGCTCACATGTCTATGTCACAGTCCATCACTGAGTGAAGTCAGGAACCTATAGGTTCCTGAAGCAGAGATCACGGAAGGATGCTGCCTACTGGCTTCCTCCCCTACAGCCTTCTCAGCTTGTTGTCTTATACAACCCAGGACCACCTGCCCAGGATGGCACTGTCCACAGTCAGTGGGGCCTTCCTACATCAATCCTTAATGAAGAAAATGCCCCCACAGACATGCACACAGGCCGATACAATGGAGGCAGTTCCTCAACTGAGGTTCCCTCTTCCTAAGGAACTCTAGTTTGTGACAAAAACTATCACATCCCTCTTACCCAAGTGTCATCCCCACCCTAATCTCCAAAATGGCTGGAGCAGTGGAGCAATACTAATTCATTTCCCATAATGGAGAAGCGGGGAAACTGAGGTACAAAGAACTCAAAGGATTATCTCAAGCTCATTTGCTATTGGGACCAGAGACATAAGAATTGAGATGCCTCCTCTCCCAAGCTCAGGGCTTGTCTACTAGTTCTAGGCCAGTCTGGAGATTCCCAGGAGCCCTGGGTGTGTCTGGGCAAAGGCATGCTTCAGTCTGGCATTTCAATCTGGCAGTCCAGCCAGAGCAAACATCTCCTGGTGTTATAATCCCTTCAGTGAGAAAACTAGGTTTGAATCACTTGAGATGTTATCTCCAGCAAAGCAGGAAAGGTATCCTGGTGGTCGGGATCCAAGGAATACCACAAAGTCACACCACACAACAAACCTCACACAAGAGATTTATTGGGAAAGATACAGGGAGGTGGCTGCCTCTGCTTGGGAGAGAAGCAGCAGAGAACTGAGCAAGAGGCATGTTTTATTTATGTTTTCTGGGGGGTGGACTTTTCCAGGGTAGAGATTTCCAGGGTGGGGATTGGTGGGATTTCAAGTCCTGGAATTGAGTTTGGACTTTTTACCCTACAATAGGACCCAGAAAACCATTAGGGACTGTGGTTTGGTCTAAGGAGGTAAAGATTTAGTAGCTGCATGGACTGTCAGTGAAGACATTTATGCTTGCTGGACTTCTGGTCATTTATGCATTGGCCTAGTGGTATGACTTTGGTAACTTGAAGAAAAAGCCTGTTCTTTCCTCACAGACACTTTAGAGAGCTGACCAACATTAGAAGCTAACACGGCTTTCTGACTGTCTTCTCTGGCTCTGTCTTGGTTAGGACTCTTTCTACCAGGCCTTTGCTGGGTCTCATGACAAATTTTCCTCTCAATGGCTTTGTGGCTGACATGGCTAGCTCGGGCTTGGGATGACATGAAACATCTAAGATGGACAGCATATACACTCGCTTGTTCATTACTTAGTTATTAACCCCACCCCCCCCATACAACCAAGGTAAGAAATGCTTTTAAGAGAAAAGCCGCTCCCTGATGATAGTCAAACCACCCTTCATTGTATAGCAGTTTCCTCCAGGGTTAAAACCTTCCGTCCTGAAGAAAAGCTTCTTGAGACACAGGATGTAAAGGGAAAGTAAAATAAATAAATAAATAAATAAAAAGCAGGAGAGGGGGATATTTGGGGATGAAATATTTTAGAAGGAGGTAAAACAACAGAATGTTCTAGGGGGAAGTGAAACACTCCACCCTGCGGGAAAGTTTCATTAAGACAGGAAGAGAACAACTCATAATAGCCTAAGGAAGTTCCTGAAACTGACCAGATTCACTAGGCCCCTCCCTCCCCTAGAGTAAACAGTAAAGACTGCTGAGAGTCACTCCCAGACAAGCTAAGCTGCAAAGATGAAGAAGGGACCAGCCACACTGCCTAGAAGAAACTAAGACCTGCAGAGCTGACTGGAAGAGGTTTAGACCAACCGAGGCACCTGGAAAGGACACTCTTCCACCTGTTGAGCTGCCTGTAGGCTGTGCAGTGTGCTCCAGATTCCCAGTGTCTGTGAGCTGTCATTCATGCTGGGCTTTGGGGATGCAACTGTCTTTGAGTCATTTCTGCTCCTGTAAGTGACCCCTCACCCATATTCCTGTAGGTAACCCCAGTAATGCTCATGGGTTCACTAAGGTGGACTCTGGTGGTATCTGTACTTTGTTCTGTTACGGGTTTCCTATCTGGGGTGAATGGACGTGTGTGTTATCTCTCTCCTGCAGCACCCCTCCACAATCACCCGGCACAGCTGCTCTGTTACGCTCTGCTCCCCCAGCACCATTTACCCATTTGCCGTATTTTACAGTTTGCCAAAGACTTTTTGACTGTATATTCTCACTTGATCCTCACAAAAATGCTGTGGAGCAGGCCAGGCAAGCATGACCAGAGCGGCAGGAGTCATGTTCCATGATGTTGCTAGTTAACATTTATTGAACAAATATTGATTCCTATGTATTTATAGGTGGTATCTAGTCAGATTTGCTGATGTGGTTCCCAGGACTCTTTCAGACCACACCAGGTGCTCTCTCCTAAGGCTAGAAATGAAAATGACTTTTCCATTGGACATAGGTTAAGAGACTTAATATGGTGTAGGCAATGCACAGCAACTTGGTAGATCCTAATGGGTCATGCTTCATCTGAATAACGAATCAGAGGCTCTCATACTTGCAGCACAAAGACACACTTGGAGAGGAATCATTTATTGAGATGATCAGTGGCTTTTAAACATTTTAAGACCATTCTTAAGTTCGACTCTGGCTCAGTCAGTAGCTCAGTGGTAGAATACTTGCTGGGCATATGCTAGGCCCTGGGTTCAATCCCAGCCCTAAGTAAAACAGAGAAGATCAAGTCTTACCAAGCAGCTTGGTGCAGAGAACCCAAAACCTTGCTTATTTTTTCTTAGATAATTTCTACAATGACCGGGTAATTTATGAATTTATTTCCAACAGTCTTGGAGACTTGAGGCCACATCTGTTAAGAATCTTCTTGTGATGGGGAGTTGATGGGGAGTCTACAGAATTCCCAAGATAGTACAGGGATCACCTGGCTACTGCAGTGGCCTAGCTCAGGCCTCCTCTGATCAACATGACTTGGGGATATTCAAGTCATGGCAGGGTCTTCAGAGAAACCCTTTATTTATTGATGAGGAAACGGGCCCAGAGGCCCAGGGAGAGGCCACGTGGAGATCGGGTACCTGAGCAGAAGCTGGGGCCACAACCAATGTAATCAGTGTATTCCCATCATGGTCCCTTATCAAGAACGGGTTGAACTTCCCAGGTCATCTTTAGAGCATGCACCTCCCCACTTCCTTTCTGCTTTCGAACCCCATCCTGCCATTTCTTCGGCCTTTCTCAAGCTGGTCCCTCCTTTCAGAAAGCATTTCCACCTGTGAACTTCGAGACCTAGGTCAAAGTGTCTCCTCTCCCCAGGGAGCTCTCTGGATCCCAGCCAGGGAGACCTTACATTTGAGTCCCCTCAGATCTGCTGGGGAGAGTCAGGATGCTCTGCTTTGCCTTAGTCCCGCCCCCAAAGGCCAGCCCTCCTTAAGAGGCCACAGAACTGAAAGCAGATCTTCCAACTCTGATGTACGCTTCAAAAAGCATCATTCAAAATTGTCATCCCGGGTAGCACGCACGTACGTGTGCGTATTCGAAACAAATCTGGCTATGTAGCCCGGCCTGGCTTTGAATTCAGTCCTCCAGCCTCTGTCTCCTGAGGCAGTACTACCTCAGCTTTGTTAATGGGATCGCCCTGTGGAATCAGCCTCAGTACTACAGTCCTCAAGCCCTGGCTAGATTACGTACGGTAGAGCTGTTTAAAATGATAGGAGCAGTTGCTCTGGGCTGTCTCCTTCATAGCCTCAACAGAGCAGGCTAACACTCAAAATGGACTCATCCAGTGATGAAGTCCACTGAGCTTTCTATCTGACCTGAGACATCAAGATTGGACACACTGCGCTCAAATTTCCTGAATGTGCCAGTTGGAAGTGCAGAGGAATTAAGCTCTTCTACCTTAATCCTTCCACGGATCGCTAAAGAGCCACTTGCCAATCAATTGTTTTTATATTTCTCAGTCTACCTGTCCTCACTGTATAAAAAAAGCAACTTGGAAAATGACCGATCTATATTTTGGTTTTGTTTTCTTCAGCGATTTTGTGTCTATAAAACCAACTCCTTCAGTTTGGCTTATTGGAATACTTGATTCTGTTTCATGCGATCAAAATATTGCTAGATTCTAAAATTGAAAATAAAGCCAATTAAGATTGTTACATTGTGATATTTGTCCTTGGACAAAGCAAAACAAAAGTGTTCCTATCTTGTCCTCATCTTCTTGGTTTTTGTTTTGTTAGGTTGTTGTTGTTGTTGTTGTTGTTTTGTTTTTTTGACAGGGTATTACAATGTAGCCCTAGCAGGAATCAGCCATTGGCAATCCTCCTGCCTTAGCCTCTTGAATTCTGGGATTTCAAGCATGAATTGCCACACTTGGCATATTCGTTCCCATCTTAATTGAGTGTTGACCATGGGACTCACACAAGCATCATGTGTGACAGACCTTGACCAGGCCCTGACAGTGGCCGAGGAGTCACACTGGCCCGGCCACTCCCGGAGCTGCTGCTGATTTCCAGCTTACTGTACACACACACACACACACACACACACACACACACACACACACACACACACACACGCTGCTCCTCTCAGAGGAGCCGGAGGCAAGCCACAAGGACGGCATCGGCACACTTCATCCTGCCTGGTGGGCCTCATCAGTATTCCATCATGAGTGGGGGTAAGGGCTCATTAGGCCCCACCTCTACCTGAAGAACCTCAGGTAGTTAGTGGTTGCTGGAAGAGAGGGAGTCATAGTCCTCAGTGGTGTAGACACTGGTCAGTTGTCCTTGCTCAAGTAAACAACCCCGACCCATGCTCAGGGAAGCAACCCCAATTAAATGTAACTGGGTACAGAAAACCAAAACATACATAACCAGGAGGGAGAGCTGCTGGGCAGAAGGCGGCGTTTGGTAGGAGGGGGATGAAAGGGGGTAAAGAGGGGGAGAAGGGCTAAAGTGCATGTGTATGTATGAAATTGGAGAAGAATAAATACATTTTAAAATCCCTAAAAACTGCAGCAGAAATTTTTAAGCCCCTCTAAAATTGCACAAGGGTTGGTAGTTATGTTGTGTGTTATTCGGGAATTCTGATTGACAGTGGCTACATCTGAGCTGTCTTTTAAGAAAGGGACTGAATATAATCTTGGTCTCTGGGTAGCTTAGGAGAAGGGTTTCCTAATGCAGAAGATTAAAAAGCAGTCTGTAGGGAACTAGAAATTGAGTCCAGTTCAAAGGTCAGCTCTCATAGAGTTATACCCCAAGCCTGAGCCAGCCATGGCCTCTGGTCTCTGTTTTAGATGCTCTGAACCAACGCTACTCCATTTTTATTTTCTTCCTTGGTAGGAAGTAAGGTCTTTGCAAATGAAATCAAGTTAAGATGAGGTCACACTGGAATGGGGGGGACTCTATTGTTGCATGATTGTTTTTCCTTAGAAGAAGGGGCCTGGGGATGCGGCTCAGTAGTAAAGCATTTGTCTACTATGCATGAGGCCCTGAGTTCAATCCCCAGGACCATGCGCAAGAAGAAAAGAGATGTAACTCAATGCATGGAGGCCTGGCCTAGAGAGATAGATACACAGAGAGAGGTGGGGGTAAGAGAAGGAGGGGGGAGAGAGGGGAAAGGGAGGGAGGGAGGGATGGGAAGAGAGAGAGAGAGAGAGAGAGAGAGAGAGAGAGAGAGAGAGAGAGAGAGGCTGCCATGTGAAAAGGCCAGGCCTTGGACTACTTTGAGAAACGAAATCTTCTCTTGAGACTTTCAGGGACGACAGCGAGGCTCTACAGCCACTCTGATTTCTGACCTCAAGCCTCAAAAACCGTGAGAGAGTAACTGTCTCTTGTCTGGGGCCACCTAGTTCTCAGACACTTCAATTCAAGAGCCCTGAGCAACACAGACGAGACAGGGCCTGCCCACACAGAACCCACATAGTCTGCGGAGGCAATGACAACCGACATGAATGAAGAGAGCAGAAACTGGCAGGTTCTGGTTAAGTAGTGCACTGGCTGGTTGTGTGTGTGCCAACTCGACACAAGCTAGAGTCATCAGAGAGGAAGGGGCCTCAGCTGAGGAAAGGCCTCCATGAGCTCCAGCTGTAGGGCATTTTCTCAATTAGTGATCAATGGGGGAGGGCCCAGCCCATGGTGGGCGGGGCCATCCCTGGGCTGGAGGTCCTGGGTTCTATAAGAAAGCAGGTTGAGCAAGCCATGGGGAGCAAGCCAGTGAGCAGCGCCCCTCCGTGGCCTCTGCATCAGCTCCTGCCTCCAGGTTCCTGCCCTGTTTGAGTTCCTGAACTGACTTCTTCAGTGATGAACAGTGGTGATAGGCTAGTATAAACCAAATAAACCCTTTCCTCCCCAACTTGCTTTTTGGTCACGGTGTTTCATCGCAGCACTGGAAGCCCTAAAATAGCCAGCTTTAGTTTTTCCTAGGAAAACAGCTCACAGTGGCGGGAGGGGAAGGGCTGGCTCTTCAGATTGTGAAGGGGCCTGGGACATGAGGGAAATGGTCACAGAACCGGGATGGTTGTAGACAGACCTACCTGGTGTTGTGATAGATCGTGTGGGGGACCCTCAAGGGTATCCCGTGCATGCAGGGAAACATGCATGCATGCTGGGCAGGTGTAGTGGCGGGCTGGCAGGCAACCCACGCCATGCAGGCATGGCAGCTGGTGCATATTCACAATCCAGACGCTGCATCCTTGGAATGGTCTATTAGAGAGACAAAGAGAAGATAAGAAAGAGGGAGAGAAGAGAGAGGGGTCGAGGGTGCATGCCTTGTGGGAGGAAAAGCGGGAGAGGAAGAGGAGGAGTTTTCCTTAAAATGAGGCTTTTACGTCAGGAGGCAGGGTGGCCCCAAGGGGCAGGATTTCAAGGGGCAGGTCAGGATATTAATACCTGGGTTGTTCAAATAGATGCTGGTGGAAGAAGAGGAGTGGAATTCAGATATCCTGTGATATTCAGTAGGATGCTGTTGGCAGGCTGGCTCTGGAGATAAGAGGAAGAGACGACCCAGGCTAGATGGCTTAAGCCAAGGCTACTTATTTCAGAGTAGACAATAAAGACATGTATTAGCCGGGCGGTGGTGGCACACGCCTTTAATCCCAGCACTCGGGAGGCAGAGGCAGGCGGATCTCTGTGAGTTCGAGGCCAGCCTGGTCTCCAAAGCGAGTTTCAGGAAAGGCGCAAAGCTACACAGAGAAACCCTGTCTTGAAAAACCAAAAAAAAAAAAAAAAGAAAGAAAAAAACATGTATTGAAGTTGGGAAGCCTGGGGGAGGCATGTGTTAAGGGTAAGGGGGTTGGGAATTGATAGTTCTGAGGTCTGAGACATCTTCATGAAGAGGCCAGCAAACCGTAGGTGATTGGAATGGCAAGATGGCCCTCAAGCTTAGCACCTTCCACACTCTGTGTGGAAAGGATCTTCCAAACATGGAGGCCTGCAGTGAGAGTCTCTTTCTTCCTATGAGAAGCCTCCTCTTTGTCCAGGGCTATGCTGGGTTTGTGCCCTGGTCTCTTGAATAACCGCTAATACTGAAAGCTAAGCAACACTGGCCTTGTCAACCCCTTCACAAAGTGCGCCGTACTTCAGACGCTTCCTGCAACCCCCTCGGAGCCTGCCCAGCTTCCTCAGCAGGGCAGGGTCTCTCGGGGCTTCCAGAACAAGCTGGGTGAAAGACTGCCGGGAGGCTGTAGGTGACCTTGGGCAGTAGCTCCAGGGCTCCAGGCTCCCAGCTGCTTGGCCAATTAAAGGAGAAAGCTTTTGTTTGCACACTCTCACTTCCCTGTCAAAAGATCTTGAGAGAGAGAGAGAGAGAGAGAGAGAGAGAGAGAGAGAGAGAGAGAGAGAGAGAGAGAGAGAGGGAGAGAGAAGCCTGGACGGTGGCAGGTGAGTCTCTCTTCATTGCTGACTCAGAGATAGCAGCCGCGTGCCCTGGGAGCTGGCAGGTGTAGGCACAATCAAAGATCAATTAAAACATGCCATTCTGGTTGGCTCTTCTCCACCAGCAGCCCCAGGGCACTTCTCTCACTGTCAGTGTCCACCAAGAGGTTTTTTTTTTTTTTTTTTTTTTTTTTTTTCTTTTTCCTACCTAATTAACTTGAAGTCAATGGCCTGAGAGGGAGGTAAGTCACGTATGGGAAGGCACACTGTACAGGCAGCCTAAGACCCAGGATCTGTTTAGGGGCTGCCTAAGCTGTTTCCCAGGCTGTAAGCAAGTTATCGTCTCACTGGGCTTCAGATCCCTCAACAATCCAGGTAGGGATTGTCTGCTGTCCTAGCCAGGTGCTTGGGGGAGTCATCTTAGAATAGAGGATACACATGGCCATGACTTTCATACAGCATGTACAATATGAATGTATATGTGTGTATGCATATTGTGTGTGTGTGTGTATATATATATATATATATATATATATAAGAGAGAGAGGGGGGGTTTCAATGTGTAGCTAGAACTCCCTATGTGTAGACAAAGCTAGCCTTGAACTTGCATTGACCTTATAGCCCCTGCCTCCCAGGAGCTGGGATTACACGCATGTGCCATCACACATATCATAAAATATATTTTAGCCGGGCGGTGGTGGCGTACGCCTTTAATCCCAGCACTCAGGAGGCAGAGCCAGGTGGATCTCTGTGAGTTCGAGGCCAGCCTGGGCTACCAAGTGAGTTCCAGGAAAGGCTCAAAGCTACACAGAGAAACCCTGTCTCGAAAAACCAAAAAAAAAAAGAAAAAAATATATATATTTTTAGCCCACCTTAAAAGCAACCTTTAGAAAAATGCAGGCAAGCCAGGCAGCATAGGTGTGGCGCTAAGCGGGCTTAGGCAGGAGAATGACAAGTTCAAGCTCAGCCATTACTATGCCATAAGACTGTCACAATTTTTAAAAAGCCAAGAAGTCTTTTTCTACTTTCAAAGGCATTTGGGGGAAGACATGAACAATTCTTCAATGCTTGAAGTTTCTCAAAGCTCAAACGACTTCTCTTGGGCCTCAGTGGTCCCGACAGGGACTGTAATTGGATTCTCTAAAATAACTGCAACAGGGGCTTCTGGGAGAATTGTCAGATTTGGCAAATATAAATATAGTACATTGAGTTAAATCTGAATTTTAGATAAACAGTGAATATTTTTAGTGAGTATCTTCCAAATACAGCATGGGGTATAATCATGCCGATTTCATTGTTTATCTGAATTTAAATGTAAGTAAGCAGGCACCTTCTGTTTTATACAACCCTGCAGGATGTGGGGGAGACATCAAATGGGGTTCAGCAGGCTACTCAGAACCCTAATACTCCTCACCTATGTCTGCAGGAGAGGCTCTGGTTCAGAGTAGGGTTTCCTTGTATTTGAGCTCTCTGGGTAAGGAAATGGTCCGCCTTCCCTAACTGGGAGCGAAGCTCTGAGTATACATGCCATTGTCTAAATGTGCACAGCAATAGGTCTAGCTGGTCCAGCCTCGGAGAGACTTGAGAGTGAAGACCCTTAGGTAAGGAAGGGAGACCATTCTCACAGGGGACAAGAAAGAAAAGGTCAGAAGGTAGCTAAGGAGGAGGACCAGAAAGAGAGCATGGTTTGGGGCTCCTCCCGGCACAGGCTCTCAGGGGACAACACAGTGTGTCCTCACGCAGCTCCTCAGTGCAGGAGGACCCTGGAGCCAGTGAGGAGCGTCCAATACAGGCCACACACACTCCAGCCCAGCCTCACCGGGGGCGGTACTTTGAGACTCTCCTCTGAGACCTGTCCTTTGCAGCCTTGGAAGTGTCCACAAAGGAGAGAGCAGAATTGGCTGCCGCCGCCGCCATATCCCAGGCTCGGTGGACACTTGGCAGCCCATCTTCCCTGTCCTTCCCTTCCTCTGCCTTAGCCCACTTTGTGTCGCTGCTGTAACCCAACCTCACCAGCTGGGTAACTGATAAACAATGGAGGTTTATCTGGCTGTGGTTCCGTGGGCTGGAAGTCAAAGATTGAGAGGCCACATCTGGTGAGGAGTGTCCTGCTGTCTTATCACGTGGGGGGAGGGAGGCCTGGGAGACTGAATTCTTTATCTCCAGAGCCCACCCCTTCTACAATGGCACTAATCCATATCTTCACGACCTCCCCGCCTCTCAACACTGTGGCAGCAGGGATTAAGTTTTAAACACAGGGACTTTGGGGGAGCCCTTAAATCCACATCACTTTCTTCTTGCCTTTCCTCATTACTTCCTGACCAGTGACCATGAACAGGCCCTTTCATCTGCTCTTCAGAAGGGAATTGACCCTAGTCCACTCGCGGGATGCTTTTACCCTGAGCTAAGAAAGAAAGGAAAAAGAGATGACTGGGAGATCATGTCCACCTGGAGAAAGCATGGGGATGGAAGAGTTAAGAAACCGCCCTGTGGACGGGCAGCAGTGGTGCACGCCTTTAATCCCAGCACTCGGGAGGCAGAGCCAGGCCGATCTCTGTGAGTTCGAGGCCAGCCTGGCCATCCAGGACAGGCACCAAAACACCACAGAGAAACCCTGTCTCGAAAAACCAAAGAAAACAAAACAAAAACCACCCCCAAAAAGAAACTGCCCTGTGTTCTAAGCTGAAGAAGGCAGAGCCACTGGATTATAGAAACAGGAGGGCGTAGCCGCCCAGACAGGAGAGGCAGCAGGGACAGGGTAGATGTAGGCACACTTTCAGACCATCCTGAGGTAGGCTTGGGGATTCAGGCTGAGGCCCAAGGGGAGGCAAAGTCTGCATTATTCTTGGCTGCTCGGGGAAACAGACTGGCCGCTTTGTGCCTGTTTTCTCTTCTGCGTTCTAGTGAGCACATCTTTATCTGCTGGAGGCTCATTTATAATCCAGGCAACCTCCTTCGGAGGGAGCAGGTGTTCTCTGGGATGAAACACCTTGGGAAGCAGAATGCAGAAGGGGGAAAAAGCATGTCACAGCACAGCTAACTAGAGACTGGTGTGGAGGCAAGGACGGACGGACGGAAGGGAGGGAGGGGTGTTCGGGATGAGAAGACGAGGAAGAAGGGGCAGGTGTGAGAAAGAAGGATCCTTTGCGCACCTCCATTACCCTTCTCCACCTCACGGTCTCTATTCCATCGTTGGAATGCTTTTGAGTCTGAACAGCTCCTCCCCCTCCTCCCCCCTCCCCCCTTCAGCATGCTGTTAACAAGGACTGACTCTGTATCCCAGGCTTACCTTATAGCTCATGGTCATCTTCCTGCCGCAGCCTCCCCGGTGCTAGGATTGGGGACACATTGCCACCATGCCTGGCGATAGCCTCTCCTTCAAGACTGCCCTTTCAAATGACTGAGAGCCTCACAATGGATGGTCTACCCTGGGCTCCCCAGAGAGCCAAGCTCAAGCATAAGATACAGGCTCACAGGTACCTGCTTTCCTAGGCGGAAGAGAGACAGTCAGTCAATAGAAGGGCATACTTGGACATGTCACGGCCTTGCGCCGCTTTCTCTGTTCAGGTGATAATGTTAGACCACACAAGGAGCACACTGAACACTCCTGCTCAGTCCCAGGGAGCAAGCGAGCCTTGTTCCAGCCCACCTTCTAGAGGGGACAATGATCTACATACACTCTTCCTGACCACACACGAGTGAGCACTCACCAGGCTGCAGGGGTGTCGTTGGGATCATCAGAGAACCAGTGACTGGTGGCAGATGGTGCATCTGTCCCATTACACCAGGGGCCAGTTTGTAGGAACCTCTGCGGAAGGCATCTCCACAGTGAAATCTGGGGCTGGAACAAGAGGCCTTGAAAGACGTCAGAGAGCATCTGGAGCTGCCCAAAGAGTGTGCAGGCATCCCCGGGTCTCATTAACTGCTCTCCTCTTTGTCACCAGGTCGTCCTTTGGCAGGTGTCTGCCCCTGGTGTACCGAGGGCAGAGCAGGGGACCAATCAGACTGGCTGTGGGGAGATGCTGGGAGCAAACGTCAACACGGACAAGCCAGCTTCCAGCAAGCTCATTTGCCCACATTGACCCAGACTGGGGTGCGGCTGTGATTCCAATCACCCTGAGAACCAGTTTGGCCTTTGAGGAAGGCAGGCTCCCCCAGAGGACCCCAGGGAGCAAGTCCAACCCAAACAAAGTGGAGGCATTAAAGGGACTCCTGAGAACTCGGCATTATTAATGGGCCATTCAAGCTGGGGGAATCAATAGCTGTTTAGAAAGGGCTTTGCGGGAGAGACTAGTTTAGATTAAGAGAAAGGAAAACAAATACTCGGCTCTCTAGGAGGTGGAGAGGGCGAGGCAGGGTTTCCTCCAGCTTCGTGGTGGCTATCACCTTTGGACTGGCACATGCCAATCCAAAAACAATAAGTAGAAATTAATGTCTAGATTGATTTTTAACTCCAAAAGAGAAAATCCATTATTTTCTAAAAACCCTTCTCTCCCAGAGCACCCGGGAAATGCAGGCGGGTGTGTAAAGCTTTAGGGGAAGAAACTGGAATGTTGGTGCTTTCCAGTTTGGCAGGGGAATGGTGTTGATTGGTTTGCACGGTCTCATGTTCATGGAACACTCTTCCCCAGGGCCCAGGGCTCCTTTCTGCCCCACCCCCACTCCCCTCTCACCCTCCCCGGGGAAGTAGGGGGTCACCGCTATTGGCTCAGATCGGCAGCTTGGGAGTCAAAGCATGTGATGGGGTCACGATCTGTCCGAGAGGACACTGTGACAGTGTGAGTGTCTCTCCTTCCTCCTGATTACATTGCCAGTTGAGAACAGAAGCGATTGTGAAGACCTGGGACTAAGGAGGGGGCAGAAGGGCAGTGTTGCTCACTAATGGCTACTCCTTCGGGATCTGGAAACCTGTTCACATCCTTTGTCCCCCTTACCCTGCAGGACTGAAACTGAGCACATGCGGCAGTCATCCTTGGATTCAGTGAGTGTTCCCCAAGGGACTTGCAGGACCTTTGTCCAGAACCAGGGTGAAGACATTCATGTCATGACCTAATGGTACTTGAATCCCATTCTCCTTTGTTAAGAGCGTCTATGTGCCAGGTCCTGAGTGGTCACATGAGGCTGCACTTGGCAGAAGCAGAAGAGAAGGCAGGTGCAGATTGCAGTGACCATGGCCTTCTGTGCCCGAGGAGGATCTTCAAGGAGCTGCCTGGGCCCGTGCCACTCTGTCTCCTGTGGCTCAGGCCCAGAGGCAGGCATCACTGTACCAGGGAGAGAGGGCCTGGCTTTGTTTTGGTTCCAACTCCAACTCTGTCTCTATAGCTGTTGATCTTGGGAAAAGGAAGCAAGTGGTTTAACCTTGCTGACCTTGACCTCCTCATCAGTAAGACGAAGGTCACGATCTGTGTCTGGGGCAACGGGCATTGGACTGCAATATGTCCAAAGTCCTGTCATGTACCCGGCACTCAGGAACTCTGGGTCTTGTCACAATGGGTTTAGTTCTGAGTGCCTCTGGGTGACCCTGATTCATCAGACCAGAAGCTGTGCTGCCAGCCCTGGTTCTGAGTGTCACTCCTGTTTAGGCTTGTAGCTGTCGGAAAGTTACAGGCATTCCCATGCACGCCACAAAGCACACCCACTCTCTCCACTGGGAAATCAGGAACTTTCCTAGCAACAGGGCCCAGAATGCATGCAGAGTAAGGGAGGTGGCTTTAGGTAAATTTGTTTTGTGTGTGGATTTCTCTGGAAATCTAGAAGGAGTGAGTCAGTCACTAAGTGTTATTTATTAAGCAGCAATGTTTACCATACCAGAGAAGCCACGAGGCACAACACAACCCACTATAAGAGTTTATTAAGGGAAGGGAATAGAAAGGGTGTGCATAGGCCTACGGAATGACCCTGCAGGAAGAAAGGGAAGGAATAGGTGGAACCCATTTACATAGGTCTCCACCCCCTGCACATGCGAATATGGGTTTATGTAGCTAAACCACGCATGCACATAGATTACGTGACCACGCTGCACGAAGATTGCATAGGACACAAGGCCCTAGGATGACTAAGCATCTTGCCTGGCTACTGGACGGCGCACGTGCAGTCATGTAGCTGAGGGAATGGCTAGGAATACTAACACTAAGGAGGCCATGTTTTTTATCTCAGTCTTCTCCATCACATCTGTCTGTTGGGCCTGGGGTAGGGGAAACAGACAGGTGTCTAAAGGCTCTGGATCTGCTCCCTCCTCATTTCCTAACTAGCCAGGAAGAATTCCTTTAGGGGAGAAAAACCACCCCCAGGAGGAGAAACAGCATGCATGGCCCCTGGGCAAGCTGTCTGCTCACTTCCCAGTATACCACCACTCCTCACCCCTCCTACAGTTCTTCACTCCTTCCCACCTCTCCCCCACCCCTTCCCACCTCTCCCCCACCCCTCCTCACCTCTCCCCACTGCTCTAGCAGCTGCTGTGCAGAAGCCCGCACAGCTGATCTTGACTTTGACAGAGAAGCCATGTCCTCCGCCTGCAGCCCACTCCCTCAGGGCTGTCTGGACTACAGGGTAAAGACTGACATCTACTACCTGTGCCTATTTGTTTGGGGCAAAACACAAATCACAGAAGTGTGTGATTGGTGAAGAAGAGTGTCCTCCAGTCTTGGCTGGTGTTGGTAAGTCATGCCGGTGGGCATCTTGCTGTTTGAAGATTCTTACACTGGACCTCTGGATGCTCCCACATCTCAGAATGTCACCGTGTCTGCAGACAGGGTTCCTGGAGAAATGACTAAATGGAAATGGATGAACGTGGGGTGGCCCCAATCCAGTTTGACTGGTGTCTTTATGAGAATGGGGAAGGGGCACATAGAAATGCTCCAGGGGGACACGTGAGGACATAGCAAGGAGGTGACTTGTCTGCGAGGTGAAGAAGCCAGCCCTGTTGACAACTGGACCCCACACTGCCAGCCTCGTGGAAAAACTCATTCTGTTGTTTAAGCTTTTAGCCTGCAAGTGGTTTGTTAGGGCAGCCTTAAAAAATGATCACACCGCCGGGCGGTGGTGGCGCATGCCTTTAATCCCAGCACTCGGGAGGCAGAGCCAGGCGGATCTCTGTGAGTTCGAGGCCAGCCTGGACTACCAAGTGAGTTCCAGGAAAGGCGCAAAGCTACACAGAGAAACCCTGTCTCGAAAAACCAAAAAAAAAAAAAAAAAAAAAAAAAATGATCACACCCTCAGTCTCTGCATCGTACGGGTTTTTTTTTTTTTTTTTTTTTTTTAAATTGGTACTCTCTCTTTTCTTGGGTTTAAGGGATATCTTCAAAAAGAGCTTGTTTTATTGATGAGCTTGCTTTATTAGAAACCACCTCAGGAAGCTCTCAGGCCAACTGAGAAGAGGCTGAGTGAAAGCCGGGGCCCAGCGGCCCTGCAGAGCACAACTATGGAGATGATGGAGAAGATGGATCTATCCGCACAGACACAAAAGGTCGCGAGTTTATTTGAGTCACCCTCCCAGGCAGTGCCAGGGAGGATGAGCGATGGGGCGGCAGCCATTCATCTCAAGATTGACTTATAAGCATCGCTGGAGAATTTGATATTTGCCTCACTGGAAAGACATTTTAAAAAAACATATTTCTGCCAATTGTAATTCCAGTTGCCCTAACACTGTGTTCTGGGCTTCACATTTTTCCCTTTATGTGTTGGTAAATCCATAAACCTTGATCAAATCTGTAGTTTTTCCAGGGGCTAGAAGATCTAGGATTTTTTATGGTAACTTTCCTTGTTTTTTGAGACAGGGTCTCACTCACTATGTAGCCGTGGCTGGCCTGGAACTTGATATGTAGACCAGGTTGGCCTCACAGTCACAGATCTGCCTGCCTCTGCTTCCTGAGTGCTGGGGGGTTAAAGGTGTGAGCCACCACATAATTTTTATTGCAGAGCTGGGTCTAAAGCCCAAGTCAAAGCTTTCCCATGACACCCTGGGAAAACTAATGAGAGGCAAAGTGACACACACCTTTAATCCCAGAACACGGGTGGCAGAGGCAGGCAGATCTGAGTTTGCGGCTAGCCTGGTCTATATAGTGAGCCCCTGTCCCAGAGATGGAGACACACACACACACACACACACACACACACACACACACACACACACACACAGACAAACAGACAGGAATATGAATCTGGTCTGTATGAACTTTGCTGTGGTTTCTTTGTTTCTTAGAGGTTGTGGCTCCTTTTTAAAGGCGTCTCTGATGCTTGAGCTAGGAAGCTTTTCTGTTTATGTGTGTTGATTTATTTTATGTATATGAATGTTTTGCCTACATGTTTGTATGTGTATCATGTGAGTGCCTGGTGCCCACAGAGGTCAGAAGAGGACACTGGATCCCCTGGAACTGGAGTTCTGAGTGATTATGAGCCATCATGTCTGTGCTGAGAACTGAACCCAGGTCCTTTGCAAGAACAGGTGTTATTAACCATTAAGTCATCTCTTCAGTATGTGTGTGTGTGTGTGTGTGTGTGTGTGTGTGTGTGTCTCTGTGTGTGTGTGTCTGTGTGTACATGTGTGTGCGTGTGTGAGCATGTACGTGCATGTTGCCAGAGGACAACATCAGGTGCTCTCCACTTTACATTTATTTTTGGGTTTTCGAGACATGGTTTCTCTGTGTTAACAGTTCTGGCTGTCCTGGATCTCACTCTGTAGACCAGACTGGCTTTGAACTCAGAGATCCACCTGCCTCTGCCTCCTCCCGAGTGCTGGGATTAAAGGCATGTGCCACCACTGCCCGGCTCCACTTTATTTTTGAGGTAAGGTTTCTCATTGAACCTGAATTAAACTGTGGCCAGCAAGCCCAAGGATCCTCCTGTCTCTGCCCCCTCCCCCCAACACTAGGGCTACTAGCACATACCACCTTGCCATGCTGGACTTTTTCCTGTCAGCGTTGAGGATCTGGACGAAGGCCCTTGTGCAGCAAACACTTGTGTTCTGATCTCCAAGTTTACTTCCTGGATGTTGGAGGAACATTCATCTTTGTGATACGATTTCTTCATACATTTTTAAAAGGCAGATTTCTTGAATGGACAAAGAAGTCATCTTTAATCAAAGCTGTATTAGGAGCTCTGTTCTTGGCTAAGAGCCCAGGCCAACGCAGAGGGAGTGCTAGTGAACGGCTGTGAAGGCCCCAGGGGAATAAACTGCAGTTAAATCACCTGGGCCAGCAGAAGCTTCAGAATCCTGATTCTGCCTCATCTCTCCTAGAAGATGCTGACTGGCAGTTACGCTTGCCCTGGAGCCTTTGTATAGCTTTGACAGCTGTTTGTCAGATGGGAGGACAACTGCCAGCAACAGTCCAGCTGCACCCCAGAAGACAGCCTAGAACCAAAGTGCTTCCCACGGCATTCCTAGAAACTGTGTACGTATGTCACTCAGAAAACCCAAATCCTACCATTTCGTCAATGTCAGCTGTGCAGACATGTGTCTCAAACTTGCCTTTTTAGATTGTCTGTTGGAATATATAACTGGATACCAGAACTGTCAGAAATATGGTTTTGATCTGTCCTCACAGGGGGAGCCCAGCGGCTTGTCCATGGAGAAGCACAGGTAGGAACCGTCCATTGCTGCTGCCATGGAGCAGGCAGACTTGGTCTTAATTTCCACACAACACTCTCTCTCTAAACCAAGTCGGCTTTGTCCCCAGTTCCCACCTTCATCCAGAGCCAACCTGGCTTTCCGTGTTTGTCCTGTTATCTCGATGCCGTATTGTCCCCTCAGCACAGTTTAAGACAAGGGAGGCAGCTGACAAAGAAAGGTCAGGTTGGCTTTGCATCACGACCAGCAAGGACTGGATTCCAAGGGCCTTGTTTGTATGTTGAGGACCCGAAGATCCTGTAAATCCTGTGTTTATTTTGTACCCATCTATGGTGGTTTGAAAAAGACCTGATAGGCTCACAGGGAGTGGCACTATTTGGAGGTGTGTCCTCGTTGGAGTAGGTGTGGCCTTGTTGGAGGAAGTGTGTCACTGGGGGTGGGCTTTGAGGTTTCAGAAGCTCCAGCCAGGCCCAGTGTCTCTCTCACTTCCTGCTGCCTGTGGATCCAGATGTAGAACTCTCGGCTTCTTCTCCAGCACCATGTCTGCCTGCATGCTGCCATGTCCCACCATGATGACAGTGGACTGAACCTCTGACCTGTAAGCCAGCCCCATTAAATCTTTTCCTTTATAAGAGTTACCATGAAGCTGGAGAGATGGCTCAGCGGTTAAGAGCACTGGCTGCTCTTCCTGAGGTCCTGAGTTCAATTCCCAGCAACCACATGGTGGCTCACAACCATCTGTAATGAGATCTGATGCTCTCTTCTGGCCTGCAGACAGAACACTGTATACATAATAAATAAATCTAAAAAAAAAAAAAGAGTTACCATGGTCATGATGTCTCTTCACAGCAATAGAAATCCTGACTAAGACACCATCCTTCCAGGCCCACTTCCAATGCTGCCTTTTCTGTGCTGTGAGCTCAGCCCTCTGTCTGTAGCTCTAGCACACTATCTCAAGCCTTTCCTCAGAGCACTTGGGCCTTTAGCTTACCTTTGGTGCCTCTGTGCCTGTCAGCGGCCTGAGAGGACTGAGCTCCACCAATCCCCACGTTCAACCAACGGTGCTTTATGCATGTCGAGGGCATGAGGTTCCATTTGAGAAGTCACAGGACTCAACTGTCAAGTTCAGAGGCCATTCTGCAGGTGCTCTCTCTACTTCCCCAAATGTAGCCCATGTACCTACTAGGACTACGTGCATTTCTCCTGCTGGGAAGGTGCCTAGTCCAAACCACCTGCTCCCACATGGACACCATCTTCTTCCTGCTCCCCAGCTGCGTTTGCTTTGTTTATTTTGTTCCTTCACCTTTTTCCCTTGAATGAGTTCTGTGGTCCTAACCACCCACCCTACCTCCTGCGCCCTCCTCTCCCTGGTCCTGGCCCACAAATCCTGGAGTCAACTCTAAAACAAAGTGGCCTCCAAAAGATGGCCACTTCTTGATATTTAGATTCTCACCTAGTGCATGGACTCACCTCCCCACCCCTTCACACACACACACACACACACACACACACACACACACACACACACACACCCTGCACTTACCATGGAGCCAAGGACAGCAAGAAGTGTAACTACGGGTAGAATCTTCTTCAGGAGAAGAAAATCACCCATAATTTTCAGAATGGTAGGAGAGAGCTTAAGATGATCAGTTTTGGCTGCTTAACATCATCTGTCCACATAGATGTGCTCTGCAAGTGATTCCACTAGAGTCTCTGCGAAGCTGTTGGGTAAACAGGGGCAGTGGACCATACTTGGAAATCTTAACGCCGCCTCTCCCAGGACCTGGTTTCCCCCACCGGATCTG